AGTATATATAAAGCATTCCGGTTCCGAGTAGATGAGTTCAAGGAGTATTCCTTTAAAGTGTTAGGATAGGTGAGAATGATGATATCTGTCTAGTATGTCGAGAATTTTCTTGTATGAGCATATTTTTGAAAACCTCATTTATAACTTATTTTGAAGCCCAGAAAATTCTCTATGTTACTATCTATGAGCTTTGCCCAAGGACTTTGAAATCGGACGAGAAAATCTGTGGAAAAGCGTAAATAGCTTTTGTTGAACTGGTGGCGAAACATGAAAAGTAATTTTTGTTTGAAAGACACCAGGAGGAATTTTTGAAAATGGCAAGTGAAAAGGGAAGCATTTCCGATCATTTTCGCTCAGAATCATATTGGGCCATTTTCTAGCAGAAACCGTGCCCCGTCCTTCATTAAGCATATACAAAAATCTATAAAATATAACTTTTTGCTAAAAGTAAAATAATATCATTAGAGAACCATCTTCTACCTCTAAATCGAACTCAATATGATGATAATGACTCCGACTTCTCTTCAGTCCATTCACATTAAAACGCAACGAAAACGGATATAAAAGATCATTACTAGCATATAAAACTGATCTTATCGTTAGATAATTCTAGTCATGAACAGTGAGGCAAAAGTTGACCTCAGTAGAAGACCACCCTCAAAGTTTTGAGTTGTCGGACAAAATAAGAGACCACTTAGTCTTCTATTACGGGAAGGGATTCTATTAGGTCATATTTCATCAAAATAGACATTTGCATGTCTAGTTAAGATTAACAGACAAAAATACAATTGCAGATTGCTTAGACTGGTTAAATATCAAAAAATCTTTTTTAAAATATGCCGTGATACTAAGGTGCAAAATATTAAAAGGCTTTTGATGACCATATTTATACGACAAATTAACTTATAATAAAAATACTAATCGTGCTCTACATTTATCAAAGAAACTAGTTACATAGTCTCAATCAACACAGTTTGAGCTCACTTTCTCTCCATGTTTTGTAAACGGATGGATTCAACCACCACATGATTTGTTTTGTTCCCAGTAACTGTTGCCCAAACAAATCACGTATTATATCCATAAAAAAAGAATGTTGACGACGTAATGATTTGTTTATAATATCGATTATCATTATTTTGGCAGTATTACAGCAACAGATAATTGCATCCGGTTTAACTTGAGCTGAATTATCATTATCGTGAATCAGATAATAACGGCTTATTTCTTATCATACAGAAAATCTTTTAATCACCTGCGAAGGTTTCCTCATTAGCTGTAGCCTCATCGACGGTTTGGATCTTCAGTTTTAAATCGTATTTCTCGAAACTAATCAAAGCTTTTTTTAATTATGACATTTCTTTAGGGACAAAACCCTTCTATTCAAAGTTACAAAAATACGTGAAGGTCTCTATTATATTTTCCGTTACGGCATTTTCGCTGAGATCAAGAGATACTCTTAACCAATACGAACGTTACTTGTGCTTTGACGATGGTATTTTTATCCATACCAGAAGGATATTAATTGTGCTGCATACTATTCCAATCTGCCAGAGGGCTTTATGATAATTAGTACCGTTATATCGAAACGCTAAATTAAACAATATACCGCCCAGACTGCCGCAGGCTCCTGTTAAACCTGCCACAATGCCCTGGTAATGTACGTGAATGTGTGGAACAACAGCAAAGACAGCACCATTTGCAGCATCCATAAAGACCGCCAACACTGCCATTGCTCCAACCAATCCGGCAATATGCAGCTGTGTCAATCCAATCCACAAAAAGAATATGCTCATCACTAATCCGGTAAATAACATCCAATACTTTTTTAACTGGACATTTTCATTTCGGTATAACAAATCAGCAATGTATCCACCCGCAGGTCTTGTAACAATATTTAACAAACCAAACATTGCCGCCCAATTACCTGCCTTTTGCTGTGACCACAACTGTTCACTTATCTTTGCTTGTTGTACGTAAAAACTGGAGATCATACCTTCAACAGCTAATTCACTGCCGAACGAGCATAAATAGGGCAATGCAACCAATGCAGTCTGAAAAGTGAATATTACTTTTAGCGCAGTTTTCCAATCAGTTGAATTATTCGTAGATATGTTAGTTTCGGCAAGCTTTCCATCATCGTTTTTCGAAAGTACCATTTCCACATTAGGTGGAATTTCAGACAGTTGAACAGCGATGGAATTCTGTGTTGACACTTGAATCATGTTATTTTGCTTGCGCCATGGTCCATTGGGTGTATCGTGCCCAAATACGAGTATCAAACCCGCTGTAAAAACAATAATGACAAACGGACAGATGGCGAATGCCACTCGCCATGATGTGTGCACTGTATATCCTGTCTGCATGAGGCCAGCGACTACAGCCGGCATGACGAAAAATGTAACGCCACCTCCGGCATTTCCCCATCCGGCAGCAAATGCATTAACTCTGCCGATAACATTATCATCGTAAAAGACAGTTGTCCAAACTTGACAAGGTACGAAAGTGCCACCCAGAATTCCTACGAAAAAACGAATTGCCATTAGACCCGGATAGTTGTACACAAGACCAGCTAATGCTGTCGGAATAGCGCCAACAATAAGACAGCCAACCATCGTATATCGTGGTCCGTAGGCGTCTGTTAATGGACCGATCACCACTCGTACGACGAAGGTTGCCAACAAGGATATGATGTTTGAATTGGCTATCTGCGACTGAGTCAATTTGAGATCTTCTTGCAACGTCCCATGCAACAATGGCGGAAACGCAAACCATGAAAGAAACGCAACAAAAAAGCCGAACCATGCGAGATGAAATGTTCTGCCATATTTATCGATTGGATTGAGAATAGGAAAAGTTCGTGCCTTGCCGTTGACGGGATTAACCTCCGGTGTTCTCCATAATGACTTTATGTCCATGATGTTTATGCTTTGCACTGCCAAAACAACACCTTTTGCTAAGAAGAAATCCTGAGAGTGTTCGAATTTTTGAGAATGGTTATACACTTCTCGTAGTATTTTACAAACAGTGACCTACACTCTTGTCAAATTTTTCGACTGATAATCAAGAATGTTGTACTTTTTTTGTTCTCTTTTCTGCATGAATGCACATTATGATTTATCGCCAATAAGTGTATAGCGACAGTTGTAGCGAATAGTTGACGAAAGTTGTAAAGAATATATACTGATGTTACAAATAGTATGAGAGAATAAATGACTGACTCCTCGTGTACCAGCATACACCAGTTAGTTTTTGTTCCTCTTTTCTTTTCTGTTCTCCAGTCGAGCGGTCATCTTTTTCTCTTTCGTTGTGTGTATATAAACACACCTGCTCACTTTCTTGTCTATGTTCTTACAAAATTCTTATTCCTTGTCATTTCAAACAACTTTGTCTTGTTGTACACCAGGCAAGATTCTTTTGTTCGTTTTCCACCGCTTTTCAACACTAGAAAAGTCGAAAGAGTAGAAAGAAGATGGCTAATTCCAACCGAAATTTGATGAGTTCACTGCTATTGCATAGCGTAAAAATTTCCTAATAAACCAGAATATGTCCAATGTTTTTAATTAGTCAAGGTTCAAATAGTTTTCTGGAACAAGAAAATGAAGGGGCTTTGGCTTATTCAAATATCGCTCAAGCAGTTACGCTCATGAACTGTCCCATGTTTAGAAAACAGCTACAACTGCTCTACTATGAGAAATAGTACAGAGGGAAACCTCGCCATGAGTAGAGAAGAGTTTCTTGGCTGTATAACTTGGTCCTCATTAGGCTTATACCAATCTAATCCAATCCAGTCCTGTTTGCTATCAAATCTGTTCGACTCACGATGTAACTAACGATATAAAATAAATAAATAAAGTCAATAAATTGCTTAAGAAGTAATGTGAATTGTGAACTAAAATACATTTCAAATCATGCTTAGAGTTAGCGAAAACTTATGTGAATAACATATATCGATATCAAATATGTTTGAGTCAAGGAAGATTGATATCACACAAGACTGATGAGGTAACTTCCCCAGTGTGAAATCGGTTTTGAGTTGAAACCTAGTGGGTTACAGATATTCGACCAAGCTGATTCCAAAAATCACCATGCCAGCTACCCTTAAGCCTTCAGAGACCCGTTTTCTGGAAACTAGTTTTTCAGAAATTCTAAAAGGTAATCAACACCTTTCTTAATGCGCCATGATTGTAGCCCGCAAATGTCTGATTAAGATGAGACATCTCCCAGCTCTAGATAGCCTTCCTTTGCCAACTTATTGAATTTGCAAGAAAAGCTTTAAATTAATTTCTTATTTCTGTAGCTTCGAGCCGACAGTAAACATTTAGGGCTTTTCTTGCAAATTCAATAAGTTGGCAAAGGAAGGCTATCTAGAGCTGGGAGATGTCTCATCTTAATCAGACATTTGCGGGCTACAATCATGGCGCATTAAGAAAGGTGTTGATTACCTTTTAGAATTTCTGAAAAACTAGTTTCCAGAAAACGGGTCTCTGAAGGCTTAAGGGTAGCTGGCATGGTGATTTTTGGAATCAGCTTGGTCGAATATCTGTAACCCACTAGGTTTCAACTCAAAACCGATTTCACACTGGGGAAGTTACCTCATCAGTCTTGTGTGATATCAATCTTCCTTGACTCAAACATATTTGATATCGATATATGTTATTCACATAAGTTTTCGCTAACCCTACGCATGATTTGAAATGTATTTTAGTTCACAATTCACATTAGTTCGTAAGCAATTTATTGACTTTATTTATTTATTTTATATTTCGGTATCTACGAGAAAAAATATTTGTAATCTATACCAAACATGCTTGACGCCGAACCTATAGAATTCTATAGAATGCTATTTTTTGTCTCAGACATGAGACAAAAGATTTTCGCTGCGAAACAAAAGTGAGAGACCTTTATTTTCAGAACATAATCTGAGAAACCGATAAAAATATGCTTAAAACTTCGAACAGAGAAAAGTCACGAAAATTCAATATTTATCTTTTGCTTTCTCGACTGCTTGAATTATTTGTTTCAAACAATAGTAAATAAGACAACGTAGGCGTTCATAAACTTTTACCTCTACTGCTTCTTCTCTGTTGTCGTTTCTTCTGAGGCGTCCTGTTAATATCTGTTACAAATATTTTTTTTCGTAGACACCGAAATATAAAATAAATAAATAAAGTCAATAAATTGCTTAAGAACTAATGTGAACTGTGAACTAAAATACATTTCAAATCATGCTTAACGAACGAGTTAACGAAAACTTATGTGAAGAACATATATCATAAATGTTCATGGCAACTTTTTGTTCATTTTAAGACGTGTCACAGCTGTCTGAATCATTCGGTTTATGATGTTTAAACAAAATAAAATGATAAAAAACGTTTCAGAATTCCTTTACGGTAGCAGAGGTCGCTGACCACGCCGCAAAGCAAATAGCTGACGGGTTAGCTTTTGTACTCGATCAAATGTGCTGTATATATTTATAAATACTTAATACCGAAGATTATTTGTCAGACGGAATCTATTTTCCGGGCAAATATGGAGATTCCGTTTCGAACCTTTTCGAAGGTTTGGTGTGAGACCCAAGGAAAGAATCTTAAAAGGTTCTTTTCTGTGTCCTTTTTTTAGAGATTACTCTTAACTTCTTTTAATCTGATATTAATTCATGAGTGTTTTGACCTAAACGAAGCCATATTTGACGACGTGGATTCTCCACAGACCGAAAATGGTTTTTCCACTTAATGAATGCCGGTGATAGACTGCGATATTAACATTGACAGACAGGTTTAATATATTCTTTATAGGCATTTGTAATAAAACGTGAAATTAACAGTAGAAAACAGTTCCTGAGTACGGGTACTCGCAGGAATTAGCGATGGCGAAAAAGCCTACACAACAAAAAATTGTAGAAGCGAAAAAACTGTTTGGGAGAAGATGGAGCCGAAAAATCTCCCTCTATCAACCTCTAGTAGAAGTGACATGCTTTTTAACAGAACAACACCTTTAAAAAAGTAATAATTATTGCTGTTCTTATCAGCAAACCTCTTCTACTATCAAGAAAAGGAAAATATAAATAAAGAAGAATTGAAACTACAAAACATATTCTTTTTTTGACCATATGTGATAGAAATGAGTAAGTTATAATAAATTAAAGCACGTCATGTTCCTATCGATTATTTCTTGCTATCTTAGGTCTTAAAGATAAGCTGAGTTTCTTCAAAAATAGAGTTTATCCACCTGTAGCAATTTTATTCAACATTTCTTTGACGATATATTTGGTCGTCTCAAACTACTTATACTACGTTAATTATAACAATCGCGATGACTACGTTATCGAAAAATATAATGATTCCTCTTATCTAATCGTTAATGTAAATTTCAACTATACAAACTGTACGACGGATGCAATATTCCATTTTGATGTTACGAGTATTTATAAAAACATCATTTGTAAAACATGCAAGCGGAATGCAGCGTTTATCATAGTCTACTGGTTTAGTACCGGAGCTGCCATACTAATTAATGGGTTCGATATAGTACTATCGATTATTGATTATGTGAAATATGTAAGAAGTGGCGAAAAGAGAACTAAACGTTTTGTACTTATAGTTATATATTCAATTTGGCCTCAATTTTTAAGAAAAGCGGCTTTTGTTGTACCCACGTATTTTATTAAACTTTTGGACTTTTCTCAACCTTGCCTTCAATATCATTCAAAATCGTCTTTGTTTCATCTAGAGCACATATCTATTGGAGTCATATTAATTATTTACTCTATCGTCTATATAATGTTATTTACCTGTAGTGATCGTGGATGTAACTGGCAAAAACAACTAAATAATTGCATAAGGTTGAATAAAATAAACAACTTTATTACAATTCTATTCGTACTTATAGCACTACCGCCAATGGTCTACGGTGGTTATATATGGGTCTCATCGTTGATAGACACAAATCAACTGGCAATTGAAGCCATTTTTGTTGGAGTTAATTTTTCAATGGGAGTTATCATGGAATGGTTGAATAGCGTCAATCGGTGCTGTGATTGATAGATAATACCGCTCTGTTACTGCTGTATAAGAGTCATTAGTTTTCATAATCCAATGCTGCATAGCAGATTAAGAGTAAAATGCTTATCTATTGCACCGTTTTGCAAAAATGAGAAACATCAAAATAAAGCTGTAGGTAAGGTACCGGAAATTTGAAAATTCAGCAGGTTTTTATTTTTACATTTTTTATACATGCTTAGATAGAGTGCGTTGAGTTAAGTCAGAAAATATGCATTTTAATGTTTGAAAAAATAATTCTTTTCTTTTTCGTTCGACAAACACTTTGAAAGTATTTTTTTCAGATTCAATATTAAAAATCGAGTATGAACCTGATGTTTGATCGAAGTTGAAGTCAAATGTCTGTCCAGTACAGACGCCTTGGACTCTCCGTGTAAAAAAATCACAGAGCGTTTTCTACATGCAGATGTTTAACCCTTGTACTCCCAAGCCTATTTTAGACACAACAAATAGAATGTATTTCATACTTCGGTCTATGCAAAAAACAAAAATTTTCATCTCATTTTCTTGTTTTTTGAGAAACGGGCCTAAATGGCCCCTGGTTGGTAGTACAATGGTTAAAGACATGATAGCCATCACCTATGAATAAACGAAAAAGAAAGAGTTTGAACTAGAAGTAGCAGCAAAGATTAACAAATACAACAGTGAGAGAGAAGAGGTTGGTGGTAAAGGTCGCTCGTGTGTAGATGTATAAAGATGAACGGGCACTTAGACTTGACTATCTTATTCTTTTTTTAGTACTATTATTAATATTACTACTATTTACTATTTATTATTCTCGTATTTTTCTAAAAAAATTCATTCTACTTGTGTTATCAAAACGGATCTTTTTCGTCCAAGTAAAATCAAAAAGTAACTAAAATTTGTTGCATACTGTCTATACGCAAAGAGTGATCGACTTTCTACGCTTTCATTGCTGTATATATGATGAATATTGAGAACGTGATTATGTCAAGGTTGTGTTTAGAAGAATGCTAAATTATCGATAAAAACGATTTCGTTTGCCATGTTCACAAAATAAGTGACGTCAGTGGAATTGAATAATTTTTTCTATGAACGTTATGCACAGTACAGGCGGACATTTGGAAAACATCGAAACTGCTATTTCTTCAACTTCAAATAGTGTCAGGTACACTCTGGACTACAGACTATCTAATAGTATAAAAATTTTTGCTCCAAGTGCTGAATTTTCGTGGAAAATAATATGCAAAAATGAGCCTATATAGTAGCGACCACCGGTAAAAATGCTTTCTTTTTATTGAACCAAGTCCATTTAAATTTGGAAACACTACATATTCTGAATCTGGACAGTCTAAGTTATTTATCAATAAAAAAAATTTTAGTTGGGCCCTACGATTTAGGAGAAAAAAATTATTTTTCGAACTTTTAACGTTTCCGCAAAGGTACTTAGTATGTAATGAGGTTCTCATGGTTTCCCAATCTTGAAACAGACTCACAGTTATACCAAAATGCTTGTCGTCATTTCTTCTGTGTATCGGAGTTGGAACCGTTTGAAAAAAACGCGATCGGATCGGCCGGTTGGAAACCTACGTCGGCTCGGATCGGCCGATTAAAAAGTTTTTCTAAATCGGTAAAAACCGATCTAAAAAGGTTTGATTATTTTCTAAGGATATATTTGTTTGTCAGTGGTCTGTGCCACTAAAACACACAGTGTGTCCTAGTAACCATCTTTCGATACCAAGCTTCGAAATGTGTCAAAGCTTCCAAGTCGAAATCGAAGAGCTTGGTATGAGTCCGATGAGCTTCTTTGTTTACAACTTTTACTTATTCTGACAATATGCAGTGCAAGAAAACAGATCAATCTGAAGAGAAGAAACAACTTTGTAGAAAACATAATGAAAAAATGTATATGAGTCAGACAACTATATCAGCAAACAAAAAGAGAACTCCTTACACTTTATTTTGATTCAGGTCACATATCATTCAAATACGCTTCTTTTAACACCATTTCTTGTTCTGTTAAAGGTGGTAGGACTTTGTAAGAAAGTAATGTGTATTCTTTTTCCTACTTTCCTGTTCAAGTCAACATTTTTTTGACAAAATAAATTCAAGGTTCAAGGTTCAACCAAAGATTCAACACAATCTGAATCCAAAAGACTGCGTTGCTCTGTAACAACTTTTCCGGCTGTTGAAAAATGCCGCTCATTCTCTGCTGATGAGGCTTGGATTACAAACACAGATTTTGGCTAGAAAATATAATAATCACAGATATAGTCGAGACACTGTTTGTAAAGCTATAAGGTATAAAGAAAACTGATTAAAGTGATGAAAACATAACGTTTTTACAACATGTTTACAACATTTGCTTTAGATGAAGCTCACTGCGGCTCAAAAACAGAAGCGTTACCCAGAAAACGCTGTTCGCTTGTTCTGTGTTTTTGTGTGTAAAGAATGATATGCAGAGAATGATATAATACTCTATATAATAAAACTGAGACGATAATGGTACAATCTGCTGGTGCGCTTTATCGATTTTAAGATTAATAGTGTTCGATAAATTTAGCATTTGATGACAATCTATTCAATCGCTGACTGTTGATATTCGATTTCTTCTGTTTGATTTAATTAGGATATGTGAATCTTTTACAATGCACATTACGAAGAATATCGTCACTTTAGTTTTTGTTTGATTGTTAAAAAGATTTTTTTTTGAGTTCATATCAACCGTTGGTCAACCTGCAATAACGAAAATGGAACTTAAAAAAGATACAAAAACTGTTTCCTTTAGTAAAAACCTGTTAGGGTAAATCCCTGCGGGATTAAAATGTGAAACACGATAGGCCGGTTATATTACTAATAGAAAACCTCACTAATATATGTATTTATTTTTAACAAGACAATATACGGTCACACTGAATCTGAAGAAAATAAGCCTCAACACAGCTACCTTCATTTCTATCGGTTTTGTCAAAAATGACCCTGTCAGCGCAGCTGCTTTGAGACTAAAATGTGGAGATCACATACCTCATTTCGTGTCATTGCGTTGACAGAAAACATCTTGCAATTCTCAGTGGAAAAGTCTTATGTTAACAGGATCATTTAGAGCAGTCTAGAATGTTCTAAGCGATATTATGACTAAGGTGCTTTTTCTCGTTGTTAGAAAAGTCTATCTATGGACTGTTACCTCTTCCTAATACTATAGAAACGTACTCAATGACCTTTGTCGCCTGCCGATACTTGTCTGCTACGCTATCGGTAACGGTCTGTTACGGACTCTAGTTTGTCGGTAACGGTCTGTGATGGTCTAAGCATATCGGTAACAGTTTTTCGTCTAGACATCTGACCTTTGGCGCCTGTCGGTTTTTTTCCTAGACATCTGACCCTCGTTCTTACTTGATACCTTTGCGTATCTCAACTTGAGGATCGGTAGATACTTCTATTATTTTATTTTATTCTTTTCACCTTTGACCTTTGACCGTGACACAACAAACTGACTCAGCGACAAACGCATGTTTTTCATATGACCGTCCCTTGAGTCGAGAGAATAACTGACTCTCTCAAGAGTGTCTAAGCTTAGACTTTCGCATTATCTTCTACATGAGCACAACTACGCCCGAGAGAAATCTCAGCTTCTTTCGTCTTCTTCTGATATCCATAGTACTAGACATGCAGCGAACCTGAATTTCAGTTCGGGTTTTCGAACTTCGTCAGATTTCTTCGAATGTCTTTAGTTCTTCGTGATTTTTGCATTATTTATTTCACTGTATGCAGACTTACGATAACCAACACCGATATCTTCTTTTTTGGTGTATTTCTATGTCCTTTTATCAGCTGACTGAAAATGGTCGAACCCGAACCCGAACGTTCGGGTTCGGTGCATGCCTACATAATACTTTTTCCTAATAAAATCATCTATATAGCTGTAATAGTAAAAACATTCTATCTTCTCAGAAACAAACCAGAAACTCAAACTTTTTTTATCATGAGCACAACTCATTAAGGGCTATAAAATGCACAAAATCCCGACTGAAAAGCGTCCCTGCATCTGAGAATGTTCCCTTGTAAGGATTTCGAGGGGTTTGATCGATGTATTCATCAAGTGATTGACCACAATAACAAAGATTCAAAAACTGTCCAGCTATCTCGAGTGCAAGCGCTTTGGAGAGCATGCTGTTATCATTTTTACATTGCACTCTGAGAATGGTATCGGGCGAAGCCATATTACTAACCTGTCACTTGTTCACAAGTTTTTTTGGTACTTCTAGAGGATATTTCAAACAAGAAAATAATGTGATATATTGTGTTAAACCTATATAATACACAAAATCAAGTAGTCGGGAGTAGCGTACCGTACGGATGCCGACGACCAACTGCATACTTTTTAGAATGTATCACATTAGAAAATCTCAATATAAAACTGTTAAGATCAATTCTTGTACAGCTATTCGTCAACGAGAAAATTGAAGTTTTTTGTGTACATGTATTTGGACAAGGCCAGAGACCGCTTACAAAATCGAAATTTGAAGAAAAGTAATGGATAATGATCAGATAAATTTCATTCATGGGTCAAATGAGTTGCAGTGACGAGCACGACTTGTTTTATTAGTAGAATAAAATCGAGCAAATAAAAAGAAGTCTTGTCACACATTCTTTTTATTAGTTTCTTTTACGTTCTTATCTATACAACAACGTTTAGTCAATTTTACATGCGAAAGTAATAAATATCACGTTTTCTCTTGGATGAATTATCAGCAGAAAATCTATTCTTCAAATACAGATAATTGTATGTCGTATTAACTTGTCGACGTTATTGACTATCACATTAGCATGGCTTCATCATAAAATACGTCACAATCAATTCGATGGATATGGCTTACCGACAATTTCAATATAAATAATCTGGATTTGTACGGACAAACCTTAGAGGATGAATCACAACTACAAAAACCCCTGGGTTTTGTCAAATTTTGTACGAATGTCGATGAATGCGCTGATTACATAACAGACGTTCAAGACAGTCATATTGTTCTAACTATTTCTGGTCGACATGCTAGACATGTTATACCACATATCCACGATTTTCCACAATTGGCAGTCGTATATATCCATTGTAAGCCAGAAAATAAACAAAGAAATAAGGAATGGTCAACAAATTATCATAAGGTAATTCGATCTCAATAATCTTATTAAAGCGTTAAAATTGGTTAAAAATTTCTTAGATAAAAGCAATTTGTTCAGAGATTGAAGAATATATGACAATGATTTACCAAAATCATATTAAATCATATGTACAGAAGGAGGATTCATCAATTTCTGTTCATACTAGTAGTGTACGATTTTATGGTACCACACCATTCAATGTTTTTGATTCATCAGCAACTACATACAAAGATTTGTCAGCTGAAAACGGAAATTTCGTATGGATGCAACTACTTGTTGAAGTTTTATTACATATGGATTCTTCAATGAGTCCCATGGACGAACTTTACCGTATGTGTGACGAATTTCTTCATAGAGACGATCGAGATTGGGAAAATGTTTTTGTCTTGGTGGGTGTTTATAACCCTCTCGATCCGATCAAATGGTACACAAAAGAACCATTTATATATCGATTTTTAAACGAAATATTACGTAGTGGAGATATTGATAAACTTATTGTATTACGTATGTTAGTACGCGACATAAATAATCAATTAAAACAAGAACACCGAAAATTTGTAGAGCCACATATAACAGTGGCTCTACAGTGACTTTGCTGATATATCACATTTAAGTTATTTTCTAAGTGAAAAAGAAATATTATTTATGTTAGGTTCCGTTTTTCGTGTAGGTGATGTATATGAAAATCAAACGAATAATTTATGGATAATTAAAATGACTTTGTGTGGAAAAACTGATTACGATTTTGGAAATTTATTTCAATCTATAAGACATCCACAATTCGCCAGAACATTGGCAAGCATTGGGACGGTATATTGTGCAAAAGATGACCATAGGACAGCAATATCATATATGGAAAAAGCAGTGGATAAACAACAGAACATGCTTCCAAATAATCACGTTAGTTTAGCAATTTCATATAACAACATTGCAATAGCATAGGCTAAAGTTGGAGTATTCGATTTAGCTCTTGAGAACTTAAATAGAGCTAAAAAAATCTTTCAAGTTGCTCTACCAATAGATCATCCAGATACACAAGCCGTAACAAAAAATATCGAAAATATGAAGGCTATCTTAGAAAAAAATTATTAATTACTTACAACAACTATTCATTTTGATTGATTATTTTTAAATAAACTCATTCATTGAATTTTGAAAATCGAAATATATTATAGGAGAAAGTTTTAAAAACTTTTCTCATCATTTTTATTCCCTCGACCGAAGGGAGGGTAATATAAAAAAATGCGTTTGTTTGTCGATTTGTGCCAGAGTCAAAAGTCAATGACCAAAGCCCAAAGGTGAAAAAAATTAAATAATTTCTGGTTCTCCTATAGAAGTATCCACCGATCATCAAGTTGAAATAAGCAAAGGTATCAAGCAAGAACAAGGATCAGACGTCTAGGAGAAAAACCGTTAGGGGTCGAAGGTCAGATGTCTAGACAAAAAATCGTTACCGATCAAAAATTTTCATCAGGGTTTTTGTCTACTATGCAAGGGTCAAAACGTAGGAGTTGTGCATACCATTGTGAGGTTATCGAGGTCGTTCTATCTAATGGTATAAAGAGTGACCGACTTGATCAAGATAATAAGAGGGCAATCGATGGAAAAGGGTAGACAGAAAAAAAATCTAGAAAGGGGAAAATATTGAAAGTAAAAATGTCGAAAATAAGAATCTGAAGTAAAGATTTACATATCGGGTGAGGGGGGAATGTGAAGAAGAGTTTTATTTTAATAAACTCTTCTTTTCACCATTTCTATTTATTTTCGACATTTCTCCCTTTGGATATTCGTCCTTTCTACATTTTTCCCATCTTCCCACGACAAACGTCGTTAAGTTTGGTATAGAAAATTTGTTTCTTGTGTGAAGTGAGGAATTTCTCATGACTGCTACTCGATAATGGGCAATCATATTGTTGCTGATTGCCTTTTTAACATAATATTAAGTTCGTTCTCTAGTCTCGAAAGATTATCTCGAACAGCTTCATCAAACACTGGAATACAAATACTAGAAGAAAATGTCAGTTTAACTTTTAAAGTAAAGTTAAAGTGCCACCCCTAATCTTGATGGGCACAACGAGTACTTGGGACCATATCTTCACTCTGTAAAAAGAAATGTCACACTGAACCTTAAAAAGTTCTAGATTTGGGTACCAATTTCACACCGTGTCGTATCTGAAAATGCATAACCATCAATGATGTTGCATTATTTATCAGAACCAATGTTTTCCTCGGATCACTTATGAATATCAATGGAAAATCCCAACCAGGTTTCCATCCACATTCATCTGTGATCTCAGAGAAACATCGATTTTCTTCGATTCTGATGAATAATGCAACATTACTGATGATTTATGGGTTCGCGGACACGATGGGATAGCAGATCCAGTTCTGTTGCGATGATAAATTAGTTGAAATCTCGCTATTCAATTATCGATAAATATTAATCTAAAAGAAAGGAAAGAAGTAGTTGATTATTCTCTTGAAATCTCACTTGTAATTTGTTTTTGAACTGGAACCTAAAGAAAATTAAAGAAAGACGCGGAATTCAGATAAGGGTTCTTTTTTTTCTTATGATGAGGATTTATTACGACGCATGAGAATTGGAGAAAGTTGAATGAATAGATAAAGAAGTTTGAGTAACAGATTCATATATGTTGGTCAAATATTATCCTACGAAATAATAATTGGAAAAATAATACGATGTAGAAATTCAAATAGAAGAACTATATCTATTATTGGAATTTATCATGAGAGTTGAGAAGTGAAATAAAATGAAACAAAAAGACAAAGAAGATTGGACTAAAAGATATCTTTATTAATCAAGACTTATTCTAAGATTGTAAGGTTAAAATAATATGAGGAAATTCAGGTAGAAGATAACTCTGTATTGATCGATAGTTATTCTTAAAGAGGAGAATTCTAATGAGGTGGAAGCAAAAGACGAAAAAATCATAATAAAAGATAATTCTCTTTCCATTAGGACTTATTTTCAGACTTCAGAATTAACTGGTATCAAAACTTTTTATGTATGCACTCGAAGACTCATTCTCTAAAGTGTGACTTAAACTGAGATGAAAAGAAGACTTAAATAAACTGCAGAAACAGATAGTTATCTATGTATTGAGACTAATTCTAAGCAATTACATAAGATACAAACAGAAAGCGTGAAAGTTCAACGAAAAGATATTGCCTTTTTAATCCTAACTGATTCTAAGAATGGAAGATTTGAATAATATGGATAAATCACAGTAAAGAATGCCTGTATATTCTGGAATAAGATAACCGAAATATCGAAGAAATTCAAACGAATGTTCTTTACTTATTCCAAAAAACTTATCGTTACGCTTGAAAGGTCATATACAATCGAAAGAGAAGAAGATAAAATTCAAATCAAAGATGTTTTTCTTCTCAATGGGATTTAATCTCAGATTTGAGAGTTGAAATGAAATGGACGAAAAGATGGGCAAGTCCTCCTATAATCGATTCTCATCTATTAATCGGAACTTATTTTGGAGTCTAGATTTCAAATAGGATGAAAGGAAGAAATGAAGAAGTTCCAGGAGAAAAAAATGTTTGCGTATTAAAGGGGGATTGCTCTAATAATGAAAGTTAAAACTAGGATGGATGAAAACCTAAAGGAATTTAAACCAACAGTCATTATATATTAATTTGCAGGAAATTATTGTCAAACAACTTAGAGTATTCATATACGGCGTAAGGAAAACATGGAGAATTTGAAATAAATGTTGTTTAGATATTGATCTCGTGAGAGTTGAGAATTGAAAAAAGATGGAATTGGAGGAAGAAAAAAATCAAAGAAAAGATCTGTATTTATAAATAGATACTTGTTAGGAAGTATAAACCAAATTTCATATCAGCAATGGTCATCTTTCAAATATACATGTTCTCTTCACTCGATGGTTATTTTCCCTTTCTGTTCTTTTGTTATATGTATTCACTGTCCTGTTTTTCTATGATGTATTATTTTCTCTTTCTGTTCACTCTTTCCCATGGGTATTTTTCATTTCTATTCTTCTCTCTCTCTCACTCTCTCTCTCTTGTACAATAGCTGTTTTTCCCAGTTTCCCAAAAGGGATCTTCCTGTAGCTAAAATATACTATATATAGTTGTGAATTTACTGAAATAAAGTATGTGTAGCAGTTACATTCTTCTTTGGCTATTAACCATTGGATGCAAAACGATTCTGAAAGGAATAACCTAACATACTTACTGTGATACAGGAGAACTGGTATCGAACGCAAGTTAAGAAAGAGGAAAATTAACTATAGAGAATTGGTATGTATTGATGATGATTTATCGAATAAAGAAGAAGTAATATAAAACGGAAAGTAGTTTTTTTAATGAAAAATAATTGGTTGGATTGCTTATGGATATTTCGAATGTATTAGAGATATGATGATATTATGAGATCTGTGAGGCTGATAGATAAAGATTGTGAATTATGTTCTAAAATTTATTTTTATTTGTTCGAAGTAAGACGAATTGAATAATGTATGCTATGCATTAAAGGAGACAGTTGTAAGACATCGTTGACATTCATTCTCAAGTACGTAGTCGAATTTAGCTGAATTAGAAATGAAGATAGTCGTTATGTGTTTTGGTTTACGTTATCCTTAATAGCAGTGTTCGAGAGGATGTAGATGAGCGACAGAAAATTGGAATTGTTTTAGTGAAGAACCTTTGCGATGATGTATGTTTATATAAAGGATGTCCTATAAGTTTTGAGGCGCCAGAAATCACTATCTTTGCGCATTGGAATCACTGTTTGATCTATATGTTTTCATCTTAGTTTGAAGGGCTCGTCACGAGCTTTCAAATGATACACTTTCGATTATCATTCCATTTTGTGTTAGTAAAAATATCAGTATAAGAATTCAATGATAAGTGTTTCGAAATAGATCAGTATGATTTTGTATATAAAACTCGACTTAAATTTAATTATATTTAGTAATTTTACAACCGCCTTCTTAGTTACTAGAGACTCAGACAGAGCTGTCTGAGTCTCTAGTAACTAAGAAGGCGGTTGTAAAATTACTAAATATAATTAAATTTAAGTCGAGTTTTATATACAGATTTATTCTTATCAAAACCGAACAAAAACTCGCATATAAAAAATCGGAGAATTGTGACAAAATGTTGTCTTTCTCCACTGTGAACGAGCTTGACTAGTAAGAGGATGGGTGACTACTTCTGAAGATCAAACCATGCATTATTATGGAGTTTGTCACTATAAAGTAGAGAATTGTGACGTATTGTCTTTCTCTATTGTGTCAAAACTACGATTAGTAAGAAGATGGGTGACCACTTCCCAAGATCGAACCATAAGTATGGTGCTTTTCACATTTATCTCAACAGTTATTGAGTGAAAGTTACTAGATACAGTTTATGTTTAAAAGGATGAGTCATTTCTGATAGAATGAAAAGAAATACTTAACGTAGAGAAGCAGAACATGTGCATTGCACAGTGATATCGTGCTTCGTTCTCGTCGTGTGAAAGTTATCGTTCTTTGTTCGATAAGAACAAGGAATAGTAACACCCTCATACGGTGTGGACTGAGTTTGTGTTGCCTGTCGTGCCCTAACTCTGTCTTTCTCGAAGGAAACCACCTGATGAGACCCTTGAGAAAGATCGAAACCGGTCGTGGTATCTTCTTTGATTCTTTCAGAAATGAATTCTGTCTGAGTCTCTAGTAACTAAGAAGGCGGTTGTAAAATTACTAAATACAATATGATTTTATATTACAGTTTTTCGACGAATTATATATAGATAAATATACGATATGATACAAAAAAAACAATAAAGCATATACCATAGCTAGTTCTCTCACTCTTTTGTTTCACGCTTCATATGATTCACCAGGTACATATGAAGTTAAGCTTTTCAGTCTATGAACGTATTGAATTAGATAAACTTTCTTTCTAAATGTATACTATCAATCGATTTATAAAATTTATCATTAAATTCTTACACTAATATTTTTATTAATAGGAAGAAGAATACTGATCGAAAGTATCTCATTCGAAAGCTTGTATAAGTACTTCCAACTGTTATAAAAATATATAGTTCAGAT